TGTTGTGTTTTGATCAGCTGTGTGGACTCTCATTCTGACGGCACCCATTCACTCTAATGGTGAGCAAGTGACGCAATGCTACATTTCTCCAAATCTGATGAAGAAACAAACTCATCCTAATCTTGGAAAGCCTGAGGGTGAGTATATTTTCTGTTAAGTTTCATTTTTGGGTGAACTATTCCTTTAAGTGAACAGCTCCACCCAGAAGAGAGGAGTATTTTGTCCAAAGCAACACATAAAGCCAGGGATTCAAAGTTCTGGTGTTGTTGTTCTGGCGAGACGCTTTTATCAAGCAGTGAAATATCCTTCCAGAGGAAGTTTTTATTGCTCACAGGTCACTCTTTCATAGTTCAGGAGACCTAAAGACCTGCGAAAGAACCGCTGCCTTTCCTGTTTTGACAGGACATTTTTCCCTGATTTTTCTGGGACGGGACATTTAGTCAAGGCCTTTTCGCTTTTTTTGTAAATAGCTAATAAACTTTAGTTCACAATCATATGCATTTATTCAAAACAACTTTTAATGTCGAGTGTAATAACCAATTCATCCAAATTAGGAAGTAACATGAGAAAGGCTAAAAAACAAACCGCCAAAATGAATCAAAGAATCCTGAGAAATAAAATGCATCACGGTTTCCACAAAAATATTGTGCAGCACGACTGTTTTCAGCATTGATAATAATCAGAAATGTTTCTTGAGCAGCAAATCAGCATATTATACTGATTTCTGAAGATCATGTGACACTGAAGACTGGAGTAATGATGCTGAAAATACAGTTTTGATCACAGAAATAAGTTACAGTTTAACAGATATTCACATAGAAAACTGCTGTTTGAAATTGTAATAATATTTCACAACATTACTGTTTTTACTGTATTTTTGATCAAATAAATTCAGCCTAGATGAGCAGAAGGGACTTCTTTCCGACCACAAAAAAACTCTTACCGACCACAAACTTTTGAACAGTAGTGTATCAAAAAAAACAAAGAAATCAGATATACTGAAGTCAATTGCATACTGTAGCTCATATAATTTGATCATTCAAGATTTTGAAATCAAAATTTGAATACAATCTGGTGTGTTTAAATCCGAGCTCAGTTTGAGACATTATTGAGATTTCTCATGAATCTCTTCAGACTCTTGGTGTTAATTCATTATGGTCTTTTCCTCGTGAGAACAACAATCTCAATTTGTCTCCATTTAACCCCATTCTCTATCAGTCTAGGTGCTAAGTGTGATATCAGAGAGATATTTGGCTCATATGTTGAATCTGATGAGGTAAGAGCTGAACTAATGAACTGATGACACACTGAGGAATGCTGGGAAATCAGCGGAGCCTCATTCCTCCCTCGGTGAGCATTCAGTGCAGCGCAGAGCCTCTTTAAATGTCAGAACAAGCAGCTGAAGAAGCAACACAGATGTTTCTGAATAAAAACCAAAGACACACACACCTTAAAACCACCGTGTGTGGAGCTGAGATCATATGGGACTCATTCTGGAGGAATCACAAGGCTCGACCGTGTCAGGATGACACACAGATGTCACAAACACACCGTATATTACTCACGATATTCAGCCGGAGGCCTCAAAGCTGTAATTAATCTCAGTGAGCTGCTTGATCACCCAGATTCATCTGTAATTCCTACAGCAATGATGTGAACTGTTACTTTGAAGTGTGTCATTTATTGAGATTATCAAGATTAAATATCAAGATTAAAACTTTGTTCAATTTGTCCAAGAAACTGAGCCTTCCTGTGTCTGTCCAATGACCTAATACACATACACATTTAAATAAAACAATTAAATACAACTTTGATATATTATTTATTGTTGAAAGGTTTACTCACATTGACCATATTAATGGAAAAATGTGACATTTCGAAGAATTTAATATAAAATTGTAATTTTATTTTTAAATGTTTGTTTAGCCAATTTCCATCTATTGATGACCATTATATTTCAATGGATTATATACAGTAAAAAAAATACACAAATAATCAAATTTTGTTTTTGTTGACATACAATCAAAATTTGTTGTTATTGTTTTAAATAACTTTTTTTTTTGTTTTGTCCTTGCACCTGTTCTTCAACCCTGTTTTGCTATAACATTTCCACCTTAATAATAATAATAATAATAGTAAATAAATAAATACACTGATACTGTACATGAATAAATAAATAATGTTTTAAAAGAGCAGGGTCATGTGTTATTAATCTATAATTTATCAGTGATGTATTTATTTATTAAAATGCCCAAACTAAATGATGATATCAAAATTTACTAAGTTATCTAGTTAAACTGTATGAATAAATTAGTGTTATTTTAGTATCATTGCTATTCTATTTTGTTAATATTTTAAATTAGATTTTACTTTTAAAGCATCTGTTTTCATTTTAATTGTAATACATTTTTTGTCATTTTGATGTGTTTTGTGATTGATTGATTTCTTTATTTTGTATAGTTTTTTTTATATGTGTATATCGCTTTTTATTAAGTTTCAGTTTTGAGTTTATTTATTTCGTTTTAGTTAGGCTATTTTAGTACTTCAGTTTAAACTACATAAAAAGAAGAAATTTTGACTTGGCAACTATCTGAAATAAAATAAGTAATAAGAAACAAATATAATAATTTTAGTTTTTATATATATATTATTTCAGCTAAGATTTATTTTATTTCATGTAATGATCGTGTCTTTTTTATGGTTTTAGTTTTAATTCATGTAACACTGGTATAAGTTCTAAATTTAATTTTAATTTACTTAATTCTAAACCTATATTTGTTGGCCACTGATCTGAATATCTACAATATCCTACAATATCTACGGCAGGTAAGACCTTGTTTCTCGGTTCTGAGTTGGGAAAATATTCTGTCAAAGTGTAACAGTAACCATTTCAAATAAAAGAAAATTATATCTTCAAAAAAGTGTTTGGGAACCTGCTTGGATTACTGTAGCGACTCCAGTCCTGCAGAAATCACACACGTATACAGTCAACTCGTGAAAAGATGGAAAGCAAGTCATTACACGAGGAACATTCACCGCTGAAGGGTCTCAGAGACTCACCCTGCATCGTTGTCTTTGTCGGCTCGGCGAAGAGTGGGATGAGTAAGAGGAAGATGAGGTAGACGAAGGACAGCCAGTTGTACCGGAACAAACATGCTGTGAAATAAAGAAGAACAGAAGAAAATGATGAGCGTGTTTGTCTTCTGTCTCCACACTGTGATAACAGCACATAAATCAGACGCTGGTTCTAGTACAGTCTTTAATTAAAGAGAACGCTCTTCATTCATTAAAGGACTGTGATTCGGTGCATGCAGCCGCAGGGCTCGGGGTTTATGAGCGAACATGAATCCTGTCAAACAGAGCATTCCAGCAGATCCACTTCAGATCACCGCAGTCACGTCAGGCCCAGCACAAACAGCTTTCAAAATATGACATTTACCGTTCAATTAACTGTCTGCTTCAAGTAAGTGAAATAAGGGACTTGAATGTAAAAGGATTTGCAGCATAGCTTCAAAAGAGCTGTTATCTAATGCAGGGAAATGTATTCGTTTTTGTAAAGTATAAATATCAAAATAATTTGCTGATGGAGAATGAATGGACAGAGCGAATAAATTAAAATAAAATAAACTGTTTTAACTGTAGAGTGCAACCTCTTCTCCATTCCCTCATGGACTAAACCTGAGCGCAAGAAAAACGCCGTCTCCGGCAACACAAACCAAAGGGATTCGACACTTGAACGATCATCTCAAGATCCCATGAAAGAAGTATTTGATTTTAATGATCATAATGCCTTTCCATGACTACAAAAGACTGGATGAACCTCATGAAAAATGACATTTCACCCCAAAAGTCAAGAAGTATAAGAAATCATATGGTGCATGAAAAAAATTAAGCCTTTTTTTAGGACCATTAAGACTTTATGCCTTGTGACTTGTGACAGACAGACAGACAGATAGATAGATAG